TGTAAATCTCCACCCTTCGGGGAGCCCTCTGAAGTCCCCATTCTAAGGCACAGAATGATGCCAAAGCTAACCAACCCCCCACCACACACACATACAAACACACCAGACCATCACCCCGACCATGGCCTCCTTGTCAGTGCAGCAGCCGCAATGACAAATAGACACTGCAGCATTTTTTTTTTCTTCCTTTTCTTTCTTCCGCCCTCACCTCTCCTCACCAAGCCTTTTTTTTTTTTTTCCAGCTTTGGCGTAAAATGGTCAAATGATGTTCTACTGCGGAATTCAATTTCACAGTTCAGTTAGGTCCTTGATTACACTGCCAAATTCAGATTAATGTGCATTTAACTAACATGGATCAGGGGAACTCTGGCTGACAGCCAGCTGTAATCGGAGGCATTGATAGCCGTGTGCAGCTTTATGCCCTGTCCACCCCAACACAGCACTGCTGAAATTGATTGATTCAATGAATTCATTGCTGTAATTATTTATAATTTTGACACATCCCAAGCCTGTGTGTGACCCTATCCTTGCAGACATTGTGCTCATTGTGGAAGTGTAGTCTGCCTAAGTTAACTAGGGATTATATACTCCCATAAAGTATAGCTTTGATGGAGTTTTGTGGCCCCTTTTCATTTTGATTGGGAAAGTGCATTTCTTTGAGAACGAATTTATGTAGTATGCTAAAATGTGTCAAGAAATTAAGAAACAAGCCTGTGTTATTAAGCATTTCAATCAGGGAGGAAATCATGGCTGCTCATTCAGTCAGTGTTGTTCAGGATTCCCACAGAGAGAATTCCTTTGTAATATATCCTGTTTTCTATGACAATGAGCAACCTCCAAACACTGATGCTAAACAGTTTGGCAACCTAGGTGATAATTTGTGAAGCAATCCATCATATTTGCTTTTACGACATGTGTCATGGGGAAATCTCCCCCAGAGTATACAGGCTTTGATCTTATTTCTATGGAATTCTTGTTCTCAGAACTAGCTGTTCTCTGGGGTGAGATGTGCAGAAAGCCTTTGTGTTGCCTCTATATTATTTACTCTGCTACCCAGTAGCTTTCCATTCCTATCCCACAACCCCGCACCACTGCATTAGGGTCTCTGTGAAAATATTTCACACTGAAATCTTTTAGAAACAGTTTGGAGCAGGGGTGATGGGAGATGCATTGGATTTATTTGTTACATATCATCCTTTTTATTGCTCCAGATCTGCTTTGTTGTCCTCTCACTAAATGATTACATACCACATCATTCTCTTAATCCTATAGGTAGACCTGTTCATCTGAACACTAGGCTTCCATCTTCCTTCTGAAATATACCTTTACAAGATATGAAAGCAGTTACATATTTCAAAGTTGATTTGTTTGCCTGCCTTTATAAGTGTGTGTGTGTGTGTGTGTGTGTGTGTGAGAGAGAGAGAGAGAGAGAGAGAGAGAGAGAGAGAGAAATGGTATATACAGATTCATGAGTTGTATTTCACTCACCTCCCAGTCAATAGAGATTATCATGAAAGAGGCAACTTAGAGAGTAGTATGTTTAAATCGTTATAAAGTCCAATAGTCCTATAGGAAGTTGAGGAGATCTCAAAACAGAATAAGGCTTAGCTATTGCTGGAACTGAGCAGAATGTTCTGCTTTGACCAAAGCAGAAATGAAAATGATGAATTATTTGCATAGATGATCAGCTCATTTGCTGTAATGATTGTTCTTTTTGTATTTTGGGCTGATTTCTCTAAACCAAGATTGTTAAACAACGGTGAAAACGAAAACAGAAACTTCATTTTTTTTCTGTCTTCCTCCCCTGGCACTATCATTCATCATTTTCTGGTCCAGTTCTTGCATTTTCCTCCAGGCTGCTCAGACATCTGGGGCCCCACGGAAACAGCCTTATGGGGCCTTGTCTCTGTATTTGCCACCCCCACATTACTGGGCCTCCATGCTGACCATGGGCTATCACCTCCCAAGTCAAGATCAAAACCTGTCTCAGTGAATTTACCAATAGCCCAAGGGCCAAATAACTCTGTCTGAATTTGAACCTACTTCTTTCCTAGTAGCTTTGCTGCCTACTTACATACTCTGCTTCAATCTCCTTATTTGTGTAAAAGAGCAACATAGGATCTGTTGAAGTATCTCACTTGAAGTTTATGTGTATGGACATGAAATCTAAAACATTCATCACATGAAAAACACTCAGAAGACATCAATTTTTGTAAAGATTTTTTTTTCTTATTTGAAAAAATTGGAGAGGAGTGACAGAGGGCTCTTGCATGCAGTGTTTCACTCCCCAGATGTCCACAATGACCAGAGCTGGGCCTATCAAAAGTCAGGACCTAGGAGCTTTCTCTGAGTCTCCCGCGTAGTTGTAGAGGTCCAAGTGTGTTGGCCATCTTCTGCTGCTTCCCCAGGTGCATTGGCAGGAAACTGGATGGGATGGGGTAGCCCCAGGCCTTGAACTGGTACCATCACAGAATGCCAGCATCAAAGGTGTTAAGATATTTTTAACATTCAATATTTTTTTTTCCTGTAAGGCAAAGTTGAAAATGAGCCCCACTTGATCTCATAGGAAAACCCTTGTGCATTACAGTGAGCTGAGAGTACACCATTCCTGAATATATGGCCCATGGAGGGGACAATTGAAGGTGGAATACCAAGGCAGGTACAAAAAACAGGCCTGTACTGTCAGTGAGCCAAGTAGCTGGCACACCCAGGTTTCCTTTTGCTCAAATGAAGAGGCTGATCCTATCTGAAGCTGAGGCTGCATAATTCGTGGGCACAGAGGTCCCTTGGTCCTGGATCACTAAAGTAAAAAAGTTCCATTTTCCTGAGCCTCAGCTGTATTGAGCACAAAACGGGACACGTTGCCCCTGCTGCTGCAGAACCGCTCCAGATTAATTGTTACAGAACCTCTGAACCGAGGTTCACTTAACTGACATAGAAAAAGCTAATCAGTAATACTGAGTGTGGTAAAAGAAAGTAGATATTTCTTGCAAGGTGTGGTGCAAGGAGCCCAGCAGCTATTGTCTAATTGCTGGGCCCTCTAGGAGTTAGGAATGAAGTTTTATAGCTGGAAACTACTGCGAAGAGGCACATGTTCAGTTTGCATCATGATTGGTCAGGGAGCTCATGACATTCCTTTGATTGGTCAGTTGGTCTTGGGGCATAGAAGGTTCTTGGATGCCATAATTACCTTCTAATCCAAACCTAGAATGTCCTTGCCTAGACCTGAAATTCCCCCTCAACAGAGCCTTTTGGGCTGTCCTGACCAACAAGGTTTTATCTACCAGAAGAGAAAATGACTTCCTGAGTCTGGTGATTAGGACTTTGCTAGGGCCAACTCTACCACTCTCTCAGTTCAGTGAATTCCTTCTGATAAAATAAAGGCAAGGAGACCTGAGGCTAAGGCAGGCAGCTAAGAGGCTGTGTCCTGCCTTTACACTGTAGAGGTCCAGTCTCACTGCTTGCTCTCAGGCTGAGGTAAAGAATGAGGCCTGTCATAAAGTGTGGCCCATTGAGATGCATCCTAGCAAACCCTTGGTTCAGTTAAGACCCAACAGAGGGCCATGGTTTGGGCGATGTGGTGGCCTCAGACAAAACCCCAGGCAATTCTCCTTCTAAAGGCCAGCTGTCCATCCGCATTCTCTCCTTGGATATGTTAAAGCACCCGGGGAAGGCTCCCACCTAAGACAGACCGCGAGCTCTCCTTGAATGAGTACACTTCCAGTTTGGTTATGAAAAAAAGTGTCTTGTGACAGTTGCCATTGTCAGCCCTTGCTTTTTGAAAGACAGTAAAAGACAATGTCATCTTTGTTCTCCAAAAAGTAATTTTTAAGATGGCTGCTACCTGCAGACAACTCTGCCTTCTGTCCTCCACTGGAATCTAAGGCACATATTCTATCCTTTATGCCACCTGCCAACTGTCTATACCTACCATACCATGACACATTTAAATAGCAGAAAGTTTAATTTGTAACTGTTGCTAAGGGAATATACTACTGTGATAATTGGGGAGGGGGCAGGAGAGGAGGAGAGGAAAACAGGAAGGGAAGGAAGAAGTGGATACCTGTGAAACAGTTTCAGGGAAAATAACAAAGAAAGGAAGTATGTTCTCTCTGCTCTGCATCTAGGACTGGACCATGGCTCAGCAGCCACCTTGCTCCCTTCTGGCTGGTGCCTGTGCTGGGCAGTGAGGACACCCAAATTTCCTCGTGGTGGGAGGAGTGGAATGACCTGTTCTAAGCCAATGCTGCACAATCCTCGTGGGCACAGAGGGCATTTGCCCTGGTTCATTGAGAACAGTTCTATTTCCCTGAGCTTCAGCTGTATTGTCCACAGAATGGGACCAGTTAATTCCTGCTGTTGCAGAACCCACCCCCTTTGAGTTGGTCCCTTCCAAGGAGTGGAGGCTGGAAGCCACATCTCCTGTCATAGAAAGTGAGCCTCTCACCTCTGCTTCCTCTGCTCTCTTCTCCCTCCTCTTCCACTGTCCCCCACCAGATGCCTCCATGTACCCTTCAAAATCAGACAGAACCGCTCTTGGCTTGAATTTCTTTCAGCACTGGCCAGATTTTCTGGACCCAACACTGAGAAAGGTTGCTCTTAATTGTATTTATGCTTAATTGGTGACAATGTTGAATGTGTTCAAAGCAAAAGCTGCTTAAGGCAGGGAGCTGTGTCCTCCCTCTTGTATACATGTGAATAGATGCTTCATTCCACCTTGAGTATGTGACTGCAGAAGCATGGGAAAGGGCTCCCTCACCCAGTATGTCCCCGAGAGTGCTACCTGAAGATTAATATCCTTTAACAGTGCAAGAAAATTAGGCTCAAACAGCACTAGAAGGAGCTTGGCTGGGTACAGCCAGTACTGTTACTCTCTGGGCATGTCCTTCATCACTCCCTGGTTGCCTTTGTTCTATCGGCTGTGACTTGGCTCACTAGCCAGGGAGCTGTACTGTCAGGTCTAACGAATGAATGATCTCTGTGTCTGTCTGTGTTCCCAGGTGGACTACGATCGAGCACAGATGGTCCTCAGCCCTCCACTGTCAGGGTCCGACACCTATCCCAGAGGCCCCGCCAAACTACCTCAAAGTCAAAGCAAAGTGAGCTATTCCTCCAGCAGCCACCAGTACCCATCTGAGTACCACAAAGCCTCCCTGTACCACCAGCCCTCCCTGCAGACCAGTTCGCAGTACATCTCCACAGCATCTTATCTGAGTTCCCTCAGCATCTCATCCAGTACCTACCCGCCACCCAGCTGGGGTTCCTCCTCAGACCAGCAGCCCACCAGGGTATCCCACGAACAATTTCGAGCTGCCCTGCAGCTGGTGGTCAGCCCAGGAGACCCCCGGGAGTACTTGGACAACTTTATCAAAATCGGGGAAGGGTCTACTGGCATTGTATGCATCGCCACTGAAAAACACACAGGGAAACAAGTTGCGGTTAAGAAAATGGACCTCCGGAAGCAGCAAAGACGAGAGCTGCTTTTTAATGAGGTGAGTGGCATCTCGGGCTCCTCACTTATTTCCCATATTCAGTAGCAATACGTGTACATTGGGAAGCCACTGAAGACAGAAAGGCAAAACTTGCATGGTCTGCATATATCCCTTATATCCCTTCCTGTCTTTTTCTTTGTGTCTAGCCAATTCCCTTTATGAAATACTCAGTGCATATCATCTACTGGAGTCAGTGTTAATCTAGTTTGATTTTCACAGCAACCACAGGAGGAATGAATGTTTTACCACCATTTCAGGTTGAAGGACATCTGTGCTGAGTCACGATTAACCCAGGTGGTGGAGTAGGCTGACTGCTGAGCTGGGGCTTGTATCATAGTCTAGCAGACCCCAAAGCCTCAGGCTACATTTTCTACATGTTTATGGGAATGATCTGTACTGTCATGATACCCAGAGGTGCCATGTTAGCCAATGCTTTCCAACAATTTTCCTGATAAGCAAAGGCCAGTTTATCATTGGCGTATCAATTTTTAGGAGACTTACAATATTTTCTTTGATTAACTATAAACCCTATGAGGGCAGGTGTTTGCCCTAGTAGTTGACATTGATTAAGATGACTATTCCAGGTACCACATGAGAGTACCTGAACTCAATTCCCAGTCTTGCTGCTGCTTCTAGCTTCATGCAAACGCAGGCCCTAGGAGGCAGGTGGCAACTGAGATAGTTGGGTTCCTGCCACCCATACGGAAGACCTGGATGGGGTTCCCAGTCTTTGACTGTGTCACAGACCCTGTCCTGAACATTGCAGGTGCTTGAGGAGTAAGCCAGCAGGTGGGACCCCTTTTGGTCTGTCCCTTTCATAATACCACAGCCAGACATCCCCCAATTTCTTACATTGTTTTAGTACTTTCTTTCTACACTTTTGTCTTCATATATTTCTTTTATTTAGGATAAGGCTAATTCTGTGTATGTCAGTTGGTAACTTTCTGACTTAATGTCATGTTAACAGAATTAACATAAAACGTTGATATATAAGTTCTGTATCTTAGAATACTGGCACATTTTTCATAACAATTCAAAATATTTAATGGCTGGTTAATCTCCTATTCTGTTTATGCATCAAATTCCTTAAACCAATCTCTGACTTATGTTCCCAGTTTTTCCCTTACGTACATTTGCAATGAATGTTGTCACACATAAATTCTTGACTTTATATCAGATCATTTCCATAGGTTTCTAGAAGTAGCGTTTATATAAACATCACTGTAGAGCAATGACATATGGTGTTGATTTTCAAAGTTTGTACCAGTTTGAGCCCTTAGCAGCAGTTCTTGTACGCCCTCAGTAGTGTCAGACTGGGTACTCCCGTATTGTTGGCCTCAGACATGGCTGAATGTCGCTATTCTACTAAGCACTTCTATTATTAGACAGACAGAGTTTCATTTTTAGTTTCTTCATTAAATCATATGTCCTTTACAGTGTTTGGTTAAGCTGGTAAAATTTGTCTTATTAATGTATAAGAGCTCTTGATCTACTGAGGAATTAACCCTTTTCTGTGCATTTCTTATAGGTATTGTTCCCCTGTCTCATTTACCTTTGAAAGTGTCATTTAAAAATGCTAAAGTATTTAGGAAGGAGTGAGAGAATGTTTCAGAAAATGCAAACATTTTGATATATCATCCCCTTAATAATGTGGTGAGAGTCTTAGAGAGTGGACTGGTTGTGTGCTGGTGGGAGATCTATTCTTAAAGGTGGCAAGTCAGGAAATCACCATCTGATAAGATGCCAGTCTCTAGACGAGGGACTACACTCAAGCTCCCGCAACAATCTAGAACTGCTTCAATTCTTTGACCTTAATGATTGTTAGCTTTCTTGTTCTCTCAAAGGTATGTACAAGTTGTTTGACTCATAAATAGACACTTCACAAATGTGCGTGGCTGTGCCTTTGGACCCCACTTCCACACAGGACTGTGCCCTACATTTCACTGAGAGTGCCACCTTCCCAGATTACTACTCCTGATTTCTGGACCTTGTTTTCAAACCACAGAGCCAGAACAGACAGGAAAATATTCTGTAAACAACCCTATACTTAATTCCTTAAAGATGTATTTATTTGTTTGTTTATAAGGTAGAGCAACAGAGAGGGAGGCAAGGAGGAAGAGAGAGAGAGAGAATGAATCGTTCGTCCATTGATTTACTCCCCAAGTGCCTATAACAGCCAGGTCTCCACCTGGCAAAGGCTGGAAGCAGGATCTCCACCCTGGTCTCTCCCATGGGTACAGGGGTCCACGCACTTGAGCCTTCTTTCTTCCACTGCATTCCAAGACCCATAAGCATGAAGCTAGATCAGAAACAAAGCAACCAGGACTCAAACCAATGCTTTGTTATAAAATCAGCACTGAAAATCATTACTCTATCCTCTGCACAGTAATGATGGCCTACGTAATTATAGTATATATGTAGTATATAGTATATAAAACAGTAGCTGGGACAAAGCAAGTAGAGGCAGCCACAGGACAGTAATTCCTGGAAGTTGTCTCCAGCAGGTTAACCTTTTCTTATACCAGCATCACATTTATTGTTACCTTCAGTATATATTATTTGGAGGAGATGTTGAACTTCACAGTTCAGGCACACACATCCCGCAACAGGAGTGGGTTTTGATCCCCATCTCTGGCTGTTTCTGTAGCTTCCTGCCTGGTGTAAGGAGAGGCAGAGGTGATTGTTGAAGTTGTTGGGTTCCTGGCACTCACTTTGGGAACCCAGTGTGTGTTCCAGGCTCCTTGCTTTGGTGCTTGTCTAGCCCATACAATGGGAAGTTCTCTCTTTCTCTCTCTCTTTTTTTTTCTGTTTCTTCTTTCTTTCTCTCTCCCTTAATTCCCTGCAAAATAACTTCCTAAAAATGTTAAACATATATTCTTTGTATTCACTCCTACTCTAGATAACTTCATTCAGTGAATGGGCTGACCACACTCACTCACTGAAAGTGACTACTCTGTGTGTGTGTGTGTGTGTGTGTGTGTGTGTGTGTGTGTGTGTGTGTGTTAGCCAACAGTGGATCATACACAATGTGTTCCATAGGAGATCTTTAGGGATATCTGATTACATTTCCCCCACAGCAGTCCTCTAAACTGCTTCTTGTCCCCAGGGTGGCACACCTGGCTCATAGGCCTATGTGAGGTGCATGAGATTACTTCATCTGGCCCTGCCAAGGCAACCACAGAAGGAACCTGAAATTCAGTAAATCTATAGCGTATTGTTTTTAAGTAGGTAACTTTGTATGGCCATGAATGACGTTCTAAATACCCAGCGATCCTTGACCAAAAAAAAAAGTTTTCCCCGCCCTTTTCTTGCCATGGCTCAACCTGTTTTCGTTTCAATCTCTCTCTCCTTCTAGAATCCCCTTTGCTATCTGTTGGACTCGACATTTTCTCACATATTTATTTTGCTTTCTTTGATTTCAATCATATGCCCTAGTTGCCTTTGGTTTATAGTACATTCCTGAATAAATTCTTCCATGGACAATAGCTCTCAACCAGTTGTACTTACGACGTAGCTGGCCACAAGACAGTAAAAAGCCAGCTTTGCTCTTCAGACATCAAAAGCGTGTCTTTCTCATGCATCCAGGTTGTGATCATGCGGGACTACCACCATGACAATGTGGTCGATATGTACAACAGCTATCTGGTGGGCGATGAGCTCTGGGTGGTCATGGAGTTCCTGGAAGGTGGTGCCTTGACAGACATCGTTACTCACACCAGGTAATTCCCCAACAGATGATGCAAGATGTTTGTTATTCTCCTGTAGGCCAAGGCCCCATTGACTATCTCTGTGAACTTTGTACAACACGTAAGCCCTGTGGAGTCCGGGACCCTGGCTACCTTTCCCCCTGTATTGCCTAGAGTATCTGTTGTAACACACGAATGTAAGAACATGGGTGCTCCATTCATCTGTTTCTTCAGTTACCATTTTCCATGCTTTCTGAAGACCATTAATAGCCATTAAGATCAGTGAACTTTTGAAAATAATAATGTTGCAGTGACAAATAATATAATGTCCTTCACCAACATGGATTTCTGAGAACCAAATTTTGTTCTCTGAAGTTGATATGCCTTTGTTATGTGATAAAACCAGCATGGCTAGCTGGGAAAACAAGAGGCAGGCTACTTTGTAGATCAATCAAAATTTTATGTCAGGATAACACATCTACATGGAATAGGGAAATTCTCTAGTTATGTTTCGAATAGTCTTGCAAGTCCCAGTGGTAATTGCCAGCTTATGGAATGAGCTCCTTGCCTCCCTTATATGTCAGTTCCAGTCATAACAAAGTGTTAATTGAAAAGCTTTTATCTACCAGCCTTTTGCATAAGTATTGAAGCTACTGAAGAGACAAAAGAATAAGTTTCAGATCTATCTCTTCAGAGAAGTCTCAGCAAAGGAAATACATTATAAACCATATTTCATATGGTTCTGAGAGACAAACAGGACTTCACTAAGAAGTAAATTAAAACGGCATTGAAGGCAGAAGATAGAATATTTGCGAAGATAGCAGCTCTCATTTCAAAATGCAGATGAACCAACATAGATCTTACTAATATGTAGGTCATAGTTTACCAAGGACAGTGTAATATTCCATGTCTAACAAGCTGTCAGAAGATGCCGGTGCTGCTGGCTATTGGCCACACAGCCAACATTCTAAGGAACAGAGATACAATGCAGCATTTGGAAAACTTCAAGTTGTGTGGTGCTAGTGAGTTAGATGAACAAAAAAAAATTAAAAAGATGTGTAATAATAATTTTAAAAAGTAAATAAAGACCAGTGAGGAGAGGCAGCAGATGTTAGCTGATGTCACTGAAAAGGCCCCCCAAACAAAGGTGGATCCAAGTAAATGGCCACAAGTAGAAGGAAGATATCAAGGAAGTGTTACGAATGGGGCTGAGGGGAGAAGGTGCAATTATTTCACACTAAAGCCTATGCAGCCCTCAGTGTATCATAAACTCACAAATCAAGAGACATGAGAGCAGACATAGCATGTGTCACCAGCATTTCAACTGGCACTGAAGACCAGGCTCACCAACAAAATGCATATATTCCCCTTAATTTATAGAAACAGATATACTGGAGCAATCCAAGAAAAAGACAACCAGGATATATTAAGCAATTGACTTTTAAAAGTCAAGATAGAGGGTTTCTGAGGAGCTTTTAAGGCTCCCCATAGCTGAGATTTTTGTCCATGTTCTCTTTTGTGCTTATTTTATATCTGTGGAAGCCACTTGACCCTGTAAACGTTCAGATTGTTAGATGAGGAATTGGTAGCATTGGCCATACGTTAAAAGTGACTTTTCAGTTAGGGATTAGGAGTCAGAGTTGATTAATTTGTATTGGTTGACCTACAGAGAATCTTTACTTCTGCTGCAAATATTTCAAATCTCACAAAATCCAAAATAAGTGAACTTCAGAAAAACTAAAAGAGTCTTGATCCTGAATTTCTTTTGAGATGTCTTTGAGATAGAACCTTCTGTTGGGAAGCATTGCTTCTGAAGGGTGTGCCTTGGGCACGTGTGGAAATTGTCATCTGAAAACAAACCAGTGCAGTGACCATGCCCTCACCATCAAGCCTCTAACGGCAAGGAAGTCACTGCTTTCTTTTTGGTTTTAGACAAAAGCCTTTCTTCTCCCCTGCCTTTATGTGAGATTGATTTGCTGCTGCAAAACCCTCTTTGAAGAGAAGGCTGTGTTCCTTCACACTCATCAGCTTTTATCTTCAGTGCTGTCACATCTCTTGGTACCTTCCCTTTGAATTGCAGCATTACCCGACCAGGAAGGAAACTGGAACTCATACATTCCACACTAGCCACTTCTTTGTGCTGCTAAGTGAAGCCCTACCTAGTATCATTGGCATTTCCCAGAGTGATCTTCGCATTTACATCCTCTGTTTCCCCTTGTGATCTCCCCTGTTCTATGTGGAGTTTGTTATTATTGAGTTGTTTTCAAAGCATGGCTTGATATATCCCTCTGTGCTAAGGAGGAAGTTTTGCACATAAATTATTTCAGATAATTCCTGACTGACTCATTTGGAGGCTAGTGAGTGACCCCCGTTATCCTAGATGCCTCAGTGGCTGAAATACTTAATTCATTTTTTAAAATCCATTGTTTTGAGTGGCAGGGACCATGTAGGACAGTGGTAAAGGTTAAAGACGCATAGGTTCTAATCTAAAACTGAGGTAAGGCATGAGTCATGACCTGGACACTTTTCTGCTTGTCTAACTGTGGTCCAATACCTGACCTCCACCTGCCCCTCTGAAATACAAAACACCTGCCTCACAGGGGTACAACCTTGAAAAGTGGGAACGCATGCCCAGGGCTGTGCTTGCTGCAGATCTCCAAGTGCCCATTTCTTGGAATACCATTCTCATTTAGCCACTTCTCAGATCCAGCTTTGTTCTAACTGAAGGCACGTAGAGCTGCCTGATCCTCTACTTTCTGCAGGAGGAAGTTTGAGGGTGGATAGAATATAAGTGAAGGCCAAGAGTAGAAGCATGAAGATCCAGTGACCAGGACTGGCATCCTGGCACAGTAAATTAAGTCACCACTTACAACACTGGTATCCCATGTTCCTGGGAACACAGTGAAAATACATGGGCCAAATCCTTGAATCCCTGCCCCTATATGAGTCATTCAGATGGACTTCCATGCTTCTGGCTTTGGCCTAGACCAGACCCAACATCACCATTTGGGGAGTGAACCACAGTAGGTGGAAGATTCTCATTCTCTCTCTCTCTCTCTCTCTCTCTCTCCCTCCCTCCCTCCCTCTCTCTGTCTCTCTCTCTCTCCCTACCTCCCTCTCTTCCTTCCTCCCTCTCTCTCTTCTTCCCTGCCTCCCTTCCTCCCTCTCTTTCTTTCTCCCTGTCTCTCTCCCCCTTCCTTTCTCTCTCCCCCTCTCTTCTTTCTCTCTCCCTCTCTCTCCTTTTTCCTCTCCCCCTCTCTTCTTTCTCTCCCCCTCTCTCTCCTTTTTTCTCTTTCCTCCTCTCTCTTCTTTCTCTCTCTCTCCCTCTCTCTGTTTCTCTCAGTTCCTCTGTCTCCCTCTTTTCCTTCCCCTCCCTGCCTCCTTCCCCCTTCCCTCTCTTCCTCTCCCCCTCTCTCTGTAACACTGCTTATCAAATAAGAAAGATCCAATGGCGACCTTACCTGAGTTCAGCTTCTAAGAGAATTAAGACTTTTCCCATTTCTAAGATGAAGAAAAAGAGACCAAAAGAAGGAAAAGGACTTGTTCAAGATCACACCTGCTATTTTGACTTGCTTATTCACTGTGTTTTCTCAGTCTGCTGATGCTTAAGTGATTATCTTTAAGAGTCCATGGACACAGATTTGTATTAATGATGCCAAAGCCAACAGGTGGTGATCTCTTTCACCTGAGTTAAACTGGACCCCTGTGCATCCTCAGTGTCAAGCCTTATGTTCTAGAGCAAGATCCATATATATGTATATGTATATATGTATATATCTATATATATTTCCCAGGTATAGGACTGGAGAGCATGGAACAGTACACCAGAACCCCACAAACCTGCCCCTCTTGAACATTTGCACAATGTTTTTAAACCTGACTTAGATTTTGCCTGCTATTTTCTTTCTAGAATGAATGAAGAGCAGATAGCTACTGTCTGCCTGTCAGTTCTAAGAGCCCTTTCATACCTTCACAACCAGGGGGTGATTCACAGAGACATAAAGAGTGACTCCATCCTCCTGACCAGCGATGGCCGGGTAAGTGTCATGTTGAGCCCCCTCCACATTACTCGTCACTCCATTTGTCATGGTCATTATTCTCTTGAGAACATTGTCTCCTCCTTTTAATTTCACTTAGTCACAAAACTCACCACTCTCGCCTAGAAGGCTTTCCAAAAGGAAATTGCCAACCCTTCGTCTGTGTCATCCTGTTAGTCAGAATTGTCTGTGACCCACATTTGGTGGATAATTTGCCTTGTTGACAGTAAGAACAAAAGTGATGGAAACTGGGATTCTCTCTCTCTCCCTCTCTCTCTCTCTCTCTTTTTCTCTCTGTCTGTCTGTCTCTTCCACACTGCACTTTCTGGTGATAGAGAACTGGCTCTTCTGGGTCTTTGTCCACCCTTGTTCTGTGAGTTTGCAGGACTATAGCGTCTCTCAGATCCCCTTCTTTTAGGTAATATGAGGAAAGTCTGATAGGTGAACAGTTTAAAAAATATATTGACAGCTGTAGATAAATCACAATCTTGCACAGGGGTTAGGACAATCATGTGTAAGGGAACACCACTGTTAGTAACCATACTCAAAGAGGTAAGTTGGGAAACCGGCTACAGGAATCTAGACGCAGGAATTGCCTGGTGGAGTCTTTGTTCTTCAGTGGAGACATCAGAGAGAACATGCAAGATGAAGGAACATATCTCCCAACCTCTGTTCTTTTCTTCCAATCTCCAATGAGGGACCTCCATTGGTTGAAACCAGCCAGGGGCTATGAAATGAAGTAAAAATTAGTTGGCTTGGCAAGGCTTGGAAACCAAGAAGGAGAACTGGCCTGGAAGGACAAACAGAAGATACTCATCACTCTAGTCTGTCTCCTGGCCCAGAGCTGTACACGTTACATTGCTGCAACTTTCTTGAGGGATTCTGATGAAACTCATCAGGCACTCTTGGGTACGGAACACAGAATGCAGTAGCAAAGGGTGGGAGATTGACCAAGCAGGTGGACTACCCACATTGCATATGGGAATGCTCAGCGCTGGTTCCCATGTTCTGTTTTCTACTAACATAGACTCAGTGACTCAAGTAATTGGGTCTCACCTACCCATGTGGGTGACCTATGTTTCCTGGCTCTGACTTCAGTCTTAACCAATCCCAGCAGCTGCAGTGGTAGTAAAGGGAATCGGTGACTGGGAGCTTTCTCTCTCTTTCACACTCTTTCTTTTGCTCTTGTTCTGCCTCTCAAAGGGGAAAACATCATCCATGGGAGTAATGAGTTAACATTCCAAGGAAGGTTCAATTAGCTGGAAGAGTTATACCATAGAATTTTTACCATTAGGCTGTTTTATCCCTCGCCTCCGCCAGGAATTCCTACCAGGAGTAGTGGCCCTGGGAGGAATGGATCAACCACTGTGTTGGTGTGCTTTTACAACCTAGCCATATGGCAATATCCATATTAATTCAAAGTTTGCTCAGGAAAGATCAACAGGATGACAGGAGAAACTGCCCAAACACTTTGACTTTTCTTGCTTTAAAAATTGTATAGATTTTATTGTGGGAAATTCAATTAATTCAGCAAAGCATAGAGGATATAATAAAAATTACATATAACCCTGTTACCTGTTTATCTCATTTCCCCCTGCACACACACACACACACACACAGAGTTTTTAAACATGGGATTTTGTTTAATTGGTAATTTTCAAGTCGTGACTTTTTCATTGCCCTGATAGAAACTTTTTTAAAAGGAGAAGTCCAGAGCATGTATCACATTGTAAGCCACTCATTGCTTAGTGGCTATTAAAATAAGAATTTATTTGCTACGTATCTGTGAGTCAGGATTTGGGTGGATTTCAGCTGGAACATTTCATTTCTATTCCACAGAGTGACAGCTGAGCTCAGTCTTGCATTTGTGATCAGCCTACCTTTGTTAACCTCACTGGCGTGACCATTGACTGGCCCTCAGCAGGGACAGTCACTGGGCTGAGTTTCACCCATTTTCTAGCAGGGTAGCCCCTGCTTATTCACTGAAGTTCCTGTGATGGGGTTTGCAAGAGAGGCAAGGTATGATGAGCAATCCTTTCAATCCCTCTATTCAAATCACATCTGCGAAAACAGTCACATCATCTAGGCAATACCCTACGTGAGGGCTAAGGAGAGAGGCTTCAGCTGTGGATCAGGGACAATGCAGAGTTGCATGATGAAGGGAAGTGACTACAGAGAGGAAAGGTACATGTCTGTGTTTTCTCCTGTCATCCATGGAGCGGGAGAGCTATGGGAAAAGATAAGCCTCCCCTCTTGGTCTGACTCACAAGTAGGTAAAGCCCTGCAGTGTCAGAAGATGCTGTACGAAGCCGTGAACTGGTTCTGGATGAAGGCTCTGGAGAGAGGTACTCAGAGAGAAAACGGAGCCACGAGGCTGCGAACTAGATTCCCTTTCTCTTTCTGCAGACTGCTGGTTCAGGCTTCCGAGCTGTGAATACCTCAGATCCTTTGTTGAACTGAGACTTGAGACTGAACAAAGCAGAATCATTTCCTGCATTGAGGGTTTCTTGGGGAAGGGAAATGTAATGACAAGCAGATAAGTGAACTAAATTGTTATGAGACAAGCTTCAATGAGGTGTCAGTTTTCAGGATGGCTGTGTGGTATAGCTTTAAAATGCTGCCTGCAATGCCCACATCCCATATTGAAATGCCCAGGTTCTGGTCCCTACTCCACCTCTGAGTCCAGCTTCCTATGAGGCAGCCGGTGCTGGCTCAGATCCTTGGGTCCCTGAAGTGCATCTGGAAAGCCTTGACTGCTGTTGACATTTGGAAAGCAAATCAAAGTAAAGCTCTCTACCTGTCTCTCTCTTCCTTTCAAGGAAAATAAAAATAGATATGATTTAAAAAAATTTTTTTTCCAGTGGTAATTTATGTGGAACATGGAAGCTGTAGAGTGATGAGGTAGGACTATTTAATACAGCGTGGCCAGAGGTATTAGCAGAAATGAGGGAGGAGTTGACTGTAGCTGTCAGCAACAGGAGGGTTCCAGGCAGTGTACTCCAGACATAATGACTGGATCTTGTGTTTCCTGGACATGTTTCCCAAAGCGTGCACACAAGCATTTCAGAATATGTTGACTCCAATGGGCCACTTCAGTTTTTATAAAGAAACAAAACTTTGTTTTAATAGAAAGAGAGCAGAGGAGGAGTGTGGCTTACTCCAGGGAAGATGGGAAGATGCTGGGAATACATTTTTGTGCTCCTCTGTTAAAACATAGAATTTTACTCATGAAATGGGGGTGAGTTTTTGAATTGACTATTACTGTTACAAGAAAGCAACTCAACGTGGACAGTCTTAAGTCATTTGAGCGTTGCACCACAGGGATCAGAGAGTTGGCTAGGCTCAGGGCTGCTGTGACTCATGGTTAGAAGATGCCTGTGGCTGAACTCATTCAAAAGTCTTCCTCCCCCATGTCAGGAAGGAGGCTGCTGAGGGCTCTGAGATCGGCTAGGGCTGTTAGCTGCAATACCTAGAAGATGGGCTCTCTGTGTGGCCTGTCTCCTCCCATATGGTGGCCAGGTTCCAGGAGTAAGTCACAAGAAGATTAGGTAAAGCTGCCTCTCATTGATTTCCATTTTTTAAATGCTCTGATTTGATTCCCAGGAAGTCTTGTTAGTAAATGACATGTTTGAAGTAGAAACCCTTTTAGTCCACAGCCAACCTGGTAGTTTGTGTCAAGCCTGAACAATATTATAGTATTACATTATTATAATATATGTATATATATATAATATATATAGTATTATATGAAATGAATCAACTTATTTCCATTTATGTTTGAGAAAACATATATGCTTGTACAGGGACAAATGTGTGTGCACACACACATACACACACATACACACACACACACGCACACACCAACACAAATACACAGTGTCCTATTGAGTTGGGGTCAAATGTGATTTGTTAAAAATAAATCTCTCAAAGAAATCATTCTGAGTGGGAAATAAAGGCCATTCAAGAAAGTCTTCCTATTGTGGGGCTGGTGCTGTGTTGGGCATCTGACTAAGTTGCCAATTAGCATCCCATATCCAGGTAAAGTCCCAGGTACTATGCTGCCAATCCAGTTCCCTGCTGATTGGCCTAGGAAAGGCCATGTTGGCCCAGGTACCTGAGCCCTTGCTAACCACCTGGGAGACCCAGATGTAGCTCTTGGCTGCAGTCTAGATCAGCCCTAGCTGACATAGCCCTTTGCAGAGTACACCAGCAGATGGTAGACCTTTCAGCCCTCTCTCTCTCTCTCTCTCTCTCTCTCTCTCTCCTTTCCCCTCTCCCCATCTCCTCTGTTTCCGTATTATCTCCTCTCTTTCTCCCTCTTTCCCTCTTTCCCTCTCTCGCTTTTTCTCCCTCTTCTCTTACTTCCTTTCTGTCACCCCATGGCTTTCATATAAAATAAATTCATCTTTAAAAGTACACATATTGTAAGGGATATTATGAGGGAGTGACAAACCTTTGATTTTAAAATAGTTTTAAGTTAACAACAAAAATTGAGATAGTACAAAGTGTCCAACTGTATAATTTGGTTGTAGCGGTGACTGCAAGGCAACATGCCTTCAGACAATTGCATCTACACACTGCACATACAAAGGAACTCATGTCTAACTCTTGAAATCCATTTAAGCTGCATGGTTTATACCAACATCAATTTCTATATGTTGATATTGCACTTCAGCCATGTAAGCCATTAGCATTAGAGAGTAAAATGCATATTTGCTGATTCCTGTGAGTTCATTGTTAATTCAAAATAGAATGCTAAGTAACATTAGAGTAAATTATATAAATTTGAAAGAATGAGTACTTTCTGGGCTTTTAAAAGACTAGAGAGAAATTGTTTTCAGTCAGCTGTAAGTCAGTTGCTCACTAATTATCCATGGAATTCAGTACTGAGTGGAATCCACTAGAATGTGACCTTGGCCCCAGACTTGAACTTGAGAGATGAAACAAGGGGGCCAATGGATAGTAAATAACTTTCATCAAATTCCTTGATTGAAATGAAA